CGCAGCCCGCCGGCTCCCTGGGCTGCTGTGTCTGCCTGGTGCGCCCCGCCCCTCGGCAGGCCGCGGTGGGTTCGCTCCCTGGAACCCAAGAAAATGAGCAGGGGGCGGCCGGGATGACCTTCGAAGTACAGGAGCCCAGCTGAATAGCGTTAAAAGCTGAGGACGCTCCGTGCCCCGGCCGCCGTGTCAGCCGTCACCTCTTTTCTGCACCAGTGCCGTGGTCGCCTGGGCCAGCTGCCCTCTGGTTCATGCCAGAGCGCTTTGGTGCAAGGAGCAGTCTCCTTCATGCTCGTTAAACGCATATGGGGCATTTTGTTAAGCACGCGTTTTAGTACACGGCTTCCATTTACACGGGGGGATTCTTAAAACTTCGACCTCCTGGACATCCCCGGGCCATAGTTTTGAAGGTTTTCCAGCTTGTGCCTTTTTCTAGAGATAAGCTCCATAGTTTTCACAGGATTTCCAAAGGAGACTGTGACCCCAGAAAGGTTAAACTACTAATTTTAAAGAATATCCTCAGGGGAAGGTTTGATGCTTACTAGAAATGATCAGAAATACGAGTTGGGCTCCTGCCCAGAACCTTTCCGCTTAGACCTCCTCAGGCTCCTCTTGGCTCCCCTCACCTGCCTTATCCTCCCTCACCCACCTGCCCGCTCTGTGGGACCCTAACCGCTATGTAACCCTAGTTAGCCAGCACATAGCAGCACACATTTCTTTCTACCCAGCTCCAAGATAAGATTAAAACAGTGTATGGAAGCCTGGTACAGGCGAACGAGACAGCGACTCAAGGCCTCGTTAGCACAGAACAGCCGGAGGCCTGGAGGGAGGTGAAAGGCCAGGTGCGCCGTACAGCCGACTCCTTTAGACAGACGGCAGAGAACCGGCCCCCTGACCCCTGGCCCACTTGCTGTGCTTACAATCCTCTTCCCTTGCCTTTAAAAAACTGTGCTGACCCCTGTGCTGCGCCTCTCTGAGCTGCTCAGTTCTGACAGCGCCGTCTGGCCAGACTAATAAAGGTCTATTTACCAACGAGCCTGGTGTGTTCCTTCCTGGGTGACTCTCGCTCCTCCGTCGAGCTCCCGGAGCCTCGCTGAGCTATAGGTCCCAGCATCTTGGAGGCCCTTTGGGCTGTTCAAGGCTCCCGGAAGTAAGGCCCTGGGTCTTGCATCCAGAGCCATCGTTGGGCTATAGGACTCAGCATCATGAAGGCCCTTTCGGCTGTGTACGCTCCGTGGAGTGGAAGTGAAACTTTAGGTCTTACACTCCTGATCTTTGCCTGTGACAAGACCACCTGTGCAGGGACTGCCTTTCTTCCTGAAGTGGTGGCCAAAATGGAGCAGACTGCAAGGCCCTAGAACCAAGAGGTGACATGTGCTGAGCAGTAATCCCTGCTGCCTCTACTGGTGACCGAGACCCCTTCCTGGGTCACTTGTCCTTGAGTGGTGATGCCTACCCATCGTGGGCTGTCCCATAAGTACAAAGTGGGTCCTCAGACTTCAGAGGGATGACCTCCCCCGGGAAAAGTGATTGCTGCTGGGGGGAAATGCGTTTTGGGAGAACTGGGCAGCTAGGAAATGGGGTGGAGTATTTGCCTTTCACGTTTGCCCTTTGAATGATTTGAATGTTCTCCTATGTGTATGTGTTGCCTGTTTGAAAAGAACTGTTTAGGGCTGGGGATGTAGCTCAGTAGACCCATTAAGGAACTCCAGACCCAGCCATTCTTCGGCTGTGGGAACTTTGGCCTCCCTAAGAACTTCCTTGTGCTGAGCTATATAATGAAGGTAACACCTACTTCAGAGGTTGTAATAAAATTGCGTGTAAAGCACATTTGGCATAGTAGATGCTTAGTAAATACTCTTTAGATTATTCAACCACAGAGTATTCTGTAAAATGTTTTGGTGAAATAAATTAGTCAGAGGCTAGAGCAGGAGATGAGACCAAAGTTCACAAGCTTGGGAAGCAGCCACAATAGAAAAAGCTTGGTGCCTGCTGTGTGTGTTAATACACAGCAATCCTCAAGGAGGGAAGGTGACTAATAAATACTTAGCAATGTGTTTTTACTGCTGCAGTTAATCACCAAGCTCCCTTAAATTGCAGGGCCTAAAACATTAGTTCTGCCCAAGTGGGTGAAGGAATCACAGAAGGGACAAAGTTTGCACAAAATAAGAGGGTCAAGGAAGGCATTCAGACAAAGAAATCAGTGGGCACAAATCCCCAAATGAGAGATCAGCTTGTCTAGGAAATGCCAGGCAGCTGAGCATATTTGGAGGAGCAGGACAGGTGGTGGAACAGAGTTGGGGAGGGCACCGCACCACGAGGAATGCCCTTAATCCAACAGAAAGTAGGGCTCCTGTGGATAATAAGATTTTTCACTTTTAAAAGTGGCAGATTCTCATGCTGAAGTAAAAAAATAAATAAACAAAAGTGCCAGCTCCAGGTGGGCATAGTGGTGCTCACCTATATCCCAACATTCTGAGAGGCTGAGGCAAGAAGACTTAGATCAGCTTGGCGTGGTGGCGCATGCCTGTAATCCCAGCACTCCGGAGGCTGAGGCAGGAAGATCGCTGGGAGTTCGAGACCAGCCTGGGCTACGTAGTGAGTTCCAGGTCAGTCTCAACTATACAGTGAGACCCTGTCTCAAAAAACCAAAAAAGAAAAAAGATTGCAATGAGCTGGAATAAAAATCCATATGCTCAATCCATAAGTTTCTAAAGTTAAAAACCAAGACAAAACAAAAATATACCGCATTGGTTATCTTGGAGCTTGCTACAGTAGCAATTCATTATTCTGAAAGTTGACAAAAGGAAAAAATTAAGCCTGTATCCTGCCTTTGTAATACAAACTGTGTTTCACGGTAGCCCATATACAAAAATTCTCTAGTACGTGCAGAAAGGGTGATGAAATTAAAACGTTGTCTTTGGAAACTCCCTGTGAAATAATCAAGGTGACCATTATCAATAGCCACTAAATGAGAGTTGTATTAGTTATTTTCTCATTGCTAGGACAAAATACCCAACACCCTCCACTTAAAGGAGGAAAGGTTTATTTTAGTCCACACTTTGTAGAGGTTTCAATCTGTGATTGGCTGGTTCTAAGGCAGAGCAGCATGGCAGAGGAGAGAGTCCATGGTGTGGCAGGCAGGAGGCAGCAGCAATGAGCCTCCCTTCCCCTTTCATGGCATTCAGCCTACGAACCTACTAGTTGGTGCCACTCACATTCAGGGTGGGCCTTCTGTCTTCGGTAAATTCATTCAGCTACACCCATAACTGTGTTAATCTGATCAGTGGATTCATCCAGTCATCACACCCATAACCCATATTCAGACACCCTAGATCCAGCCACCTCTGAAAAACCCTACCTATGAGCACATGAGGCTTTGGGGAGGGGGCAACAACTATATAACAGCCATAACAAGGGGATTGATGGAAGTCTTCATGAAGGATCGATGATCACATCATCCAAATCTACTGATCAATCTTAGCATCACCAGAAGTACAAAACAGAATAGTGTTTGCTTCCTGATATGGACCGGTAGGTAACACATAGAACAATTTATGATTTTTTTATATTATCCTGTACCTTATCTGCCCCCAAAACTAAACTGAATCTAATCAAGCATCTAACTCAATCGGTAGAAAAGAAAAGCAGGGGATAGAGGGACATGCTAAATGATCCAAGGAGTAAACAATAGTAAAATCTTATCCAAATGACCAGTTTTTTGTTTTTTTTTTTTGTACCAGGGATTGAACTCAGGTCCTTGTGCTTGCAAGACAGGCCACCGAACCGCTGAGCTAAATCCCCGGCCCCCAAATGACCAGTTTTTTGTTTTTTTTTTTTTGTACCAGGGATTGAACTCAGGTCCTTGTGCTTGCAAGACAGGCCACCGAACCGCTGAGCTAAATCCCCGGCCCCCAAATGACCAGTTTTATTCCATTACAGTATCTAAGCAAAAGATGGAAATAGGAACATGTTATCAACATTAATAAAATATATCAAACATACAATGGGCAACTTTAGATTGTAATTCAAATAAAACAACTACAAAATACCCTTTGTGGACAACTGGGCGGTAGTAAATGCTCTGAATTGAATTGTGTCCCTCCAGAATTCTTCTGTTATCCCCCAGCACTTGGGAGGCTGAGGCAGGAGTTTGAGGCCAGCCTGGGCTACATACGTGTTCAGGGCCAGGAGACCCTGCCTCAAAAATAAACAAACAGAGACCACTTCACCTGTCTGTCCGCCACCACCCACCCGGGGCACAGAACATCCAGGCATGGGTAAAAACGAGCTGGTGCAGAAGGCCAAACTGGCGAGCAGGCTGGGCAATGACATGGCAGCCTGCATGAAGTCCGTAACTGAGCAAGGCGCTGAATTATCTAATGAGGAGAGGAATCTTCTCTCCGTTGCTTATAAGAATGTTGTAGGAGCACGTAGGTCATCTTGGAGGGTTGTCTCAAGTATCGAGCAAAGGACGGAAGGTGCTGAGAAAAAGCAACAGATGGGTGGAGAATACAGAGAGAAAGTTGAGACTGAGCTAAGGGATATCTGCAACGATGTGCTGTCTCTTTTGGAAAAGTTCTTGATCCCCAGTGCTTCACAAGCAGAGAGCAAAGTCTTCTATTTGAAAATGAAAGGAGGCTGCTGCCGTAACTTGGCTGAGGTTGCTGCTGGTGATGACAAGAAAGGGATGGTGGACCAATGGCAGCAAGCGTACCAAGAAGCTTTTGAAATCAGCTAAAAGGAAATGCAACCAACGCATCCTAGCAGATTGGGTCTGGCCCTTAACTTCTCTGTCTTCTATTACGAGATTCTGAACGCCCCAGAGAAAGCCTGTTCTCTGGCAAAGACAGCTTTGGATAAAGCCATTGCTGAACTTGATACATTAAGTGAAGAGTCGTACAAGGACGGCGCGCTAATAATGCAATTACTGAAAGACGGCTTGACATTGTGGACATCGGATACCCAGGGAGATGAAGCTGAAGCAGATGAAAGGGGGAAAATGAACTGGGCTCCCGACTTCTACCTGCCTCATTCCAAAATTTACACAGTGGACCATTTGTCATCCATGCTGTCCCACAAATAGTTTTTTGTTTACGGTTTATGACAGGTTTATGTTACTTCTATTTGAATTTCTCTATTTCCCATGTGGTTTTATGTTTAATATTAGGGGAGTAGAGCCAGTTAATATTTAGGGAGTTATCTGTTTTCATCTTGAGATGGCCAATGTGGGGAAATGGAATTTTTATACAAGTTACAAATGCTTGGCGTTGTACTTTTGGTACGTTGT